AAAACCGGCGTATACCAAGTTGAAAGCGTTGGAGTACAAAAGGTATAGGTTTGACAGGGAAGCTATAAATATGACAAGAACCATGTACTCTGACGCCAATGAGTCTTGCTGGATCCTTCCCAAGAGGTACCAATGTTTTAGGCGGGGTGCTGGGTTGATAAGACATGTCGAGGCAAATTTGTAGCCTTATTCAAGTCTTACTGAGCCCATAATTCGGTGCTTAGTCTTGACTCAATGCCAGGAAACGACGTGTCATGCATTATTGACTGCCGCTGGCAGGTAGGCCTACTTTGGGCCAAATATACGCCATGAAAGTCTTGCATACCTGTGGGTTCGAGTAGCTCAACCGGATCGACTCGGGTTACCGCCGTTCGATTAGCTCTGGTTAGTGAACAGATCAGGAATAGGAACACCACAACGTTTTTAACCAACGTCAGAAAAACTGTGTAAAACAGTCTATGACTAAATGTTTCACACATACATTTATCAATCTGTTTATGAATTAAGATTTCATGATAAAGTCTGGCAAAGGCTTTGCTGAAATCAGTGGCAATAACAAGGACAGACTGTACGAGGTTTATCAGTTCGTCGTAGACGAACTAGTTAGGCATGTTTGATTTCAAAATTTATCTCGTTGCGACATTAGAGGCTATAATTCCAACCCGACGTTGGTACTTCTTTTTGCGTTTGACAGAAATGTAGCAGATCTCAAAAGTAACAGTCAGTCCGTACAGGGCGTTTACTCAATGGCTACGGCCGCGGCTACTGATGTCACATGACGTCATGATGGCCCGCGTTTGAGCGTTCGATTAACCCGTCTCGCGTAGCTAACCCGTCTGCATTTACCAGAGGCCAAGTCGATCCGGGTGATCTACTCGAACGCACCCTGTGACATTGTCGATAGAAACGTTGACATACGTTTTTCAATGTTGTTCACGGCAGGGATGTAGTCGAGTCCATCCCAAGTCCCTGCAAGTTCATCACAAGTCTGACCTCTCCCCATTCAAGTCACAGGTTATTGAAATGAGCTTTGACAAAGGCTTTCCTTGTTATTGTTCATCACTGTTAGTTTGATTAAATTGGACATGTGAATGGACTTGTAATTTACTTGTGACTGGACTTGTGACTTGTGACGATGCAAATAATGACCAAGACAACTATATCCATTCACAGCCAGCTTCATTCGCAAACATTCTCAGCCAGCTTCCCTCCGGCTGTTATCCTTACTAGTATGAAAGGTCAGTAAACAAACAAAAACACTACATTTTGGCGATTTCTGAATGAATGTGAACCTTTACTGTTGCAACTTTGCAGAATACTTCCTCAATGCACCACGGTTTATAAGGCCGAACACATTTCATCTCTAGCGAATTTCGAACGTTTCATAACGTTAAAATTCGCTTCGCAAGCACCATCCTTAATCATTGATTACGTGTAAGAATTATGTTAACTATTAATGGATGACTCATATATAAAACAACCAATACATCATGAGTGCTTACCTTATGATACATATTACGAGAGGAATAGTTTTCTTAGTGCTTCAAGGCCGATCAATTTGGATATTCGTCGATGCACAAGTGTTGCCGAAGAAAACGACAAAACAGTAATCTTGTCGCACAAACCCTTTCAGAAATACATCACTTGAATATCACAGAGGTTAGTGTTTTCGCCGCAGGAATCCAATGAAATTACATATGTCTTTTCGAGGGACGTCTGTATACTGAATTAGTATTTTAACAAAGTTGCAAGCGCCGTCTAAAACCCCAACGCCTGAAATTCCTTCTGCGGAAAAGAAAATCAGCACAAGGAAATTGTTTTACAGACTTAAGGAAACCTTTTTGGAAGGGGTGTGGGGCATGGCCACACCAAGCTTCGGAGGAGATGTACGTCCCAACTTCACATCAGTACATAATTCTCAAACGATATAACTTTAGTCCCCAGTATCAGATGCTTTACGACACAATTTCCAACCGAAATAATGTAGTTTTACACACTTGTCTTGTAATATCATCATGGATAATCAACGCGTTCAACGACCAATGGCAACATCAGTAAATTTGAATCTACTCGATCACTTTTGGATCGTAGATTTGCAAAATTACTCAGCCCAATTATCTTTCCCCTGCTGTTTTAAGCTCATCAATCACAAACGAAACCTTGGACACTAAGGAACGAGAACTGATACTACGGTGGAGGGAGCGAGGTGATACTGGATCCCAACGGGCAGACCTTGGCGAGCTACGCACGATGAATCAGAACCCCTATTGCTCCTATCATCTGTTGTCGTGACATGGCAATTCTTTCAGGAGTGATTACAAGCAACATGTAAAAATTGCTGCGTGGATATCCAAAGTGTTCTGGATAAAGCGGAAACAATGTGTTAAAAAGGGTGGTTTAGTGGAAGGGTTTTATGGGGAGAGATAGATGGCAACTTTCCTAAGCAGGTGATGTGCCCTACTATGCTTCGTCATTCGTATTACATGTACTTCAACAGTTCATAACAAGCTCGTTGGATGATCCACATACTCATGTTAATTAATCAATAAAACTTAACTGAATCCATTTCAATGAAGGCGTGGAAATGATCTTTCGGTGTACATTAATTACACTGTTTATTTACTTTTACTAGGTTTTCTAGTTATTTTAACATTTATATCACAGTTCCTAGAACGATACTAGATACTAAATTTCAAATATCCGCCAATGGATTTCATTTACGGTGTATTTTTATTCAAATTTGTTACATTCTGATTCATCCTAATTTCGCTGATTTCGTCTCACGCAGACGCAGTAGTGATCGGCGTTGTATTAAAAAGGAAATTCGGGTTTTTTGTCATTCATTTTAGCGCTTTTTGGTCATTTAAATTCAGACAGTGCATTCTTTACAATACCTAGGCTATGAAGGCTTACACATTTCTTGGTATTTCTGCGTTTTCTTGTCACTCGTTTTTGAGACTCGATTGTGAAAAAAAGATGGCTGACAATGCTGGAGTTCAGAGAGGCGGCATATCAGAGGCCATCAGGCCGACACAATAAGGTATCCAACGCAAACTGAAACGATTGGCCTTCGAAGGAGAACATCAGACTCGGCTTCCTGGCTGCTGCTGACATTCTCGGTGTGAAGCGCCATCCTGCTCACAACATCATATTAACCTACTTACCTTCTTGAGAACAGAAGAAATGCATTACCAAGAGAAGGGAGAAGACACTCAAAACAAATCAAGAAACGAAGGACTGCCTTCAGCAGTTACTTGATGAAAAAAGCCTTTGTTAACATTGGGCCAACTAAATGAAAGACCGTATATAAGACCTCACGCTAAAGCCCCCCCCCCCCAGCCCCCCCCCCCCCCCCACCCCGTACAACCGCCACTGGAAGAAAGTGAGTACAATTACGTATTTAGAAAATGTAGTTTAACTCTAAACACGGTTGTCACGGCTATCTGTAATTTTTTTATTTCTAAGTCCGGTTTGGGGGATAGGGAAAAGCTGGTAATTATGACTTATTAAATTTTCCTGAATTTGAAATCATTCTCTGCCCTGGACCCGACCAAAATGGCACAGTTGTTCATTGTCCACTTTACAAAAATATATATTAAAGGTTTCACTCGGTTTACTATATGCCTTTCCTTCGCGTATTAAGAAAACAATGAAGTTGTGTTGCTTTACTGCCGTCTTCCGTTTTATTTGTACATAATGCGCATTACGTTGGTTAAGTACCAGCATTCTTTGGTAGCACAATCACTTTATTGGGTGATGACATCGAACATGTTTGATAAAGGCACATTTTTTTGGGGGGGGGGGGGCCGCCCGATAGTTCGAAGGTCCGATAGTCCGAAGGTTCTTTAGTCCGAAGGTTCGATAGTCCGAATGCACAGTCAAACTTTCCATAAGAGGGGGTTCGTTAGTCCGAAGAAGAAATAAGGTTAGTTAATCCGAAAATTTGATGCAATAGTCCGAAGGTTCTTTAATCCGAAGGTTCATTAGTCCGAAGGTTCATTTATCCGAAGGTTCGATAGTCCGAATTTAGAATAAGGTTAATCAGTACGAAGGTTCAATAGTCCGAAACGAAAATAAGGTTCAATAGTCCGAAGGTTTATTATTCTGAATTGACGATGAGGTTCGATAGTCCGAAAAGACTATAGGCTTTCCCAAGGTCCGATAGTCCGAATCGACAATGAGGTCCGATAGTCCGAATCGACAATAGGTTCCGATAGTCAGAATCGACAATGAGGTCCGATAGTCAGAATCGACAATAAGGTCAGATAGTCCGAATCGACAATAAGGTCCGATAGTCCGAATCAACAGCAAGGTCCGATAGTCCGAAGTGTCATACTGACGGACCGTATTGCCCATTCGGACTATCGAACCTTATTCTCAATTCGGACTATCGAACCTTATTGTCAATTCGGACTATCGAACCCCACCGTATATTCGGACTATCGAACCTTATCATCTATTCGGACTATCGAACCTTATTGACGATTCGGAA